CCTGCATTAACCATTGAGGTTTCACACTATTCCTGAAGAAGCAGGAAATGGAGTCTGTGAGATGAGGCGCAGGGTTGTGGGGAAGTTTGCAACCTCAAGGACCAGAATCTGAAGATGCTCTGTTATTTCCCACAGATCAGCACAACTTTCCCTGCCAAAGAGGCTACCATTAAATCAGATGTTGGCACAATACCACATCAGTGATGGGGTCACTGCACTCCCCAGGGTACCACCCCACTCCTGGGCATTCTGAGTCCCCTAGGAAATGGGTTCACTGACTTGAACAGAGCCTGATGGCAAAGCCCCTCATCCTTCTGGGGACAGGAAGATGCACTTGGGGAGAGTCCTGTGTGGGGCCTGATGTGCACTGAGTGGTCTGCATGTGGACAATGTACATGTCTCCAGGCCACCCTCAGAGGCTCCCCTTTACACACTTGCACCACCTGTCAGGGATCCTGCATTTTAAATGGAAGAACTTTTAAATTTGTGACTCGATGACAGATTTCATTGTTGGAAAATGCTCACTCCAAACCCTCCCCAGTACCACTGAAAAGAGAAATAAATTGTTTTGGAATGACAGAATTTTCTTTTCATTTCTTGAGGCCAAAGATCTCACAAAATCAAAATTAACAGACTTTGATACAGAGGTGGGCACAGAGAATTTGTTCATAGCTCCTATGTCACAGCACAAAACAGGATCCACCCAAGAACTCAGCATCCACATGTCTGTCCCTGGTGCTTGGCAAGGACTAACACCAGATCAGAATCTGGGATTTTCATCCAGTGCTGCTGGATCCCTAAGCCTCTGGGATCTGGACAGCTGCCTACATCAACAGTGCTCTCCTCCTGTCTCCTTCCCTCTACTACTTATTAGACTGAAGTGCTCTCACCTCCAGCCTCCCTCCCTCCACTACTTACCTGTGGTGAAGCAGTGACCTCCCAGATGGAGCAGCAGAGGGCAGCACTTCCACAGCTGGCACCAGGGTGTGTCTCTGCAACAGCAAGTGGCTCCCTGGTCTGCCAGCTGGACCCCACACTCTCCTCTTTTTTCCTGTTTTCAGTAGGCTTTGAGGGAAAGAGAAACTGCACTGGTGGCCTGACATGATCCTGCTCTGATTAGGGAGTGAAGGTGACTCCTCCAGGCCAGTCTATTTTCCCCTTTTTCTCTTTTTTAGTGTCCCATTTCTTCAAAACCCTCATCTGCTGTCAGCTGCCCATTCTGTTCCTGTAGCCTAAGCTGTCGTCATCACAATGGGGAAAATTTGTAGACAAAGTGATAATTTCTAGGGCAGCCAGCTGTTGAAGGACAGCATGGAAATCTTAAGGAATGAGACTTCTTTTCTTCCAAAGGTAATGAGCTGTTCTCAGTTCAGTTCTTGTGCCCCTTCACCAAGTAATTAGTGTCATATACACAATATTGAATGTCATTAGAATGAGAATGTTGTTATTGGGTGCTCTGTTCAAGTACTATGTGTTCTCAATGATCCCATTATCCTCTACCTCAATCGTATTTGATAGGTAACCTGATGGCAAATCAAGCATGGTTAGCCCTCTGACCCTGACCTTAGTCTTTTAATATTTTAGTCACCATCCAAAATAAGGCCTGAAAAACAAGGTGAGTACCTTGGCCTTCAAGATGTTATGTTCCACCCAAATTAATCAGTTAATAGAATTCCTGATGAGCTACAACAGGCAATGATTAGATATTAGCTGCATTCAC